CCACATGTTCTCACTCATAGGCGGGTGTTGAACAATGAGAGCACATGGACACAGGGAGGGGAGCACTACACACTGGGGTCAGCTGGGGGGAAATAGGGGAGGGACGGTGGGGGGTGGGGAGCTGGGGAGAGATAGCAAGGGGAGTGATGCCAGATGTAGGTGATGGGGAGGAAGACAGCAAATCACACTGCCAGGTGTGTACCTATGCAACAATCTTGCATGTTCTTCACATGTACCCCAAAACCTAAAATGCAATAAAATTAAATAATGGGAAAAAAAAAACTAGGACTGTACTGCTAAATATAGAAAAGGAGAAGATTATATAGTCAATTATATAAATTCAATTGGTATGCTTATTTTCATTCTTTTCAACTATTCCTTTCGTGGTCTGAGGTAAAGGGATTCCTTTGGAGGTTGTTACATGAGCAGCGTGACTCAGACTCCATGGGACTTGCAGTCATAATCCTGATGACCGAAATAGGAAAATGAGGTAAGCAATGCCTTATAGGATGGAACCACTTAACTTCAAACCGTGACTGAGAATGACAGGAACCCAACTCAAAACTCAACGTCAGCAACAGCTGGAACCATGGCCTTACTTCTCTCTCTCTCTGCCATCTCTGCTTCTCTTTGTCCATTGACATCCTTCCTACAGATTTGTTCACAAAGCTGAAACTCTGTCTATCATTATCCTAGACTCACATCTTACTAGTTTCACCACCAACAGGAGGAAAAAAAATCTTTCCCCGATTCCAGCTCAACAATACCCAGGAAAGGATGCTGTTTGGCTTGACTTGAGTCATTCCCTCATTTTATGACCAATCCCTGTGTGCAGTAAGGTAATCCACTAGTCTAAGTCAGGTATCTTCTCTACCCCTGGATGGGGACAAGCCTGAGGAGTGTATAAAGAACAAGTCAGGAAACAATGATTGATAGTCCCTTCTAGAACCACGATATTGTAATTGGAGAAAAGCTGTTCCCCCTGCCCCCAATAAAAGCAGAGAGAGAAGGGGGACAGTGATCTCAGGCAAACAGAAGGAATAGAGCTTCACAATATCTGAACAGAGACTCTTTCTATTTGGCTTTGGCATCCTTTACATTGGAAGCACATTTTGGAATTCAGCACATAATTCAGTTCAGTACAAGGCTGGGTTTCTTTGCTTTACTTATTGATATCTTGAGTTCCCTCACTGAGTAACTCAATCAGACAATTTCCTTGGAGATGAGGACTGAATTCATACATTTTCCTAGGTATTTTTGTACACTTAGTAAATTCCCATTGAAAAAAGTCCAGCCAACTTTCCTTGCCACGCTATAAATGTAACAATGTTTGGTTTATAGCAGCAGTAGTTTTAGGGAGCCTACCATTGTTTGGAATTCTTCCCCTGTGGCTCACAGTTGCTCCCAAGGTGATGGTCCCCATACCATTTTGTCTTCATAATACTAACAGCTCACTGCTGAATCAAACAGGGCCAGCCTCAGCCAGAAAAAAAAAAAAAAAAGAGAGAGAGAGATAGATGTGAGAGCAATAGTCTCCTACAAGCTGAGCCTGAGTCTTGGAGATGTATTATACTAACAGTGGACATTTAATTCAGCTACACTGAGCTGTCAAGAATCACGGGCAAATGTGTGTTCCCATGATATAGAAATGATTTTTCTGCATTGAGCTGAATTAAATGTCCATTGAGTTCTGACTTTGTGATGGTGCTTAATATATTCCAGATTTTTTTTTCTCGCTCTGATGCCAGGCTGGAGTGCAGTGGTATGATCTCAACTCACTTCAACTTCTGCCTCCCAGGTTCAAGCAATTCTCCTGCCTAAGCCTCCCAAGTAACTGGGACTATAGGTGAGTGTCACCACACCCAGCTAATTTTTGTTTTTTTAGTAGAGATGGGGTTTCACCATGTTGGCCAGGACGGTTTCAATCTCTTGACCTCGTGATCCGCCTGCCTCAGCCTCCCAAAGTGCTGGGATTACAGACATGCGCCACCGCACCCAGCCTTCGGATTTTTTTAGTATTTATGTTATATTCTTACAATGGCCATTTTTTAAACTTAAAATAATGTCTACTATTTTTTAACTACTTGGTTAGGTGTTTCTATATGTCTTAGCTAATTCAACAAAATTAAAGTTAGCATTTACACACACACACACCATTAATGATTAAAGAAGATGAGGTCTAGAGAGATTAAGGGTTACACACCTAAACTCATGATCCTTCTATGTTATGAAGCCAGAGTTTCTGACCAGGTCTGTCTGACTTCCAAAGCTGTCTTATGGCACTATTTGGCTAGAAAAATCACATCCTAATTGAATTTCTAACTATTGTATAGTTAATATTTCCTTTGCAAGACATTGGTGCGCATTCAGTCCAAGCAGAAATATTCACCTCCTAACATAGTGACACTTTCATTCCACACATCCAGCATGGAATTTCCAAACATTCAAAATCATCTTCACATTAAGCCACTTGTTTAGAGAAGTCCCCATCTTGAACACTTTGAGCTGTCAAGAACCAGGGGCAAGTGTGTGTTCCCATCATATAGAAATGATTTTCTAAAATTATCTTCAGGAACAAAATCATAACAAAGAGTTTGGATGGTGAGGGGAGAAACTTTTTTTTTTTTTCATTTTGTTTCACTTTCTGAAAAGATTTTCCTCAAATGCTCTAAAAATCTCATTTGGGATAGAAATCAAACAGAACCAGACTCAGCCAGGAAAAAAAAAAAAAAAAAAAAGATAGATAGATGTGAGAGTCACAGTCTCCTGCAAGCTGGGCCTTGGGGATGTCAGCTATGTGTCAACACCTCTCCTCTGGTAACAATGTCAGTACCGTCACCAAGAAAGGCAAAAGAAAAAAATCTTCACTCAGCAGCATGAGCCCAGAAGAGACAACCAAAGAGAATGGCAAAACAGTGTCAGTAAACAGAATAACTGTGGGTAAGAAGGGAGTAGTGTGGTCTAAACACAAGGTTCTGTTTCTATTTCATTATAATGACTATGGAATCCTGTGAGATAAAACACATTTGTTAAAAAGGGAAGATGTGTTCCCTTTCGTAAGTTGAGTAAACATGGTCTACATTCAAGATCATATCACGGAGAGAAATGATTCTTCCTTCCCAGATTTTCTTCTGGGACCAAGGAGCCAAAGGAGTTTGAACAGTGCATTTTTCAGTTTTTGTTTGTTTCTTTTCTGAAAGAAGTTAGAATGTATCAGCTGATGTCACTAACATGCCTCCATACTTCTGAGGAAGAGGAGATAGAAACAAAAGTGAAGAAAATAAATTTAAATTGGCATGCTCTTAACTTTACCAGCTGGCTGAAAGGGCATTTTTCCTAATGAATTGGAAACAATTCACAGCCTAACTGTAAATGGAAGGAAGGCCCTGGGATAGCTTAAGAAAATGTACAAAAATTAATATATGCATAATGATTTTCATATTTTTGCTTCTTATATATGTTTATCTGAATATTCAACTCTGAAGAATAACAGGTGGTCTGCCTTATGCTATGTACAAACATAGATAGATAGATGGAGAGATAGATGATAGATTAGACATAAAACCTTAAGAGTTTTAGGTTTTTTGGAGGGAGAGAACTTATTTATTTTATATATGGTTTGGGGTTTGGGTATATGTGTGTGTGTATTTGTAAGCCATTTTTAAAAAAAAAAATTTCATGTATCCACACATTAGAAAATAAAATGAAAAAAATCTGACAAAAATTCAAAGTAATAAATGTAACAGAATTTGCAAAATGTATATGAAGATTTTTTAAAAGATTTATTTTTATTTGTATAAATGTATGGGGTGAACATGTAATTTTGTTACATTGCTATACTGTACAGTGGTGAAGTCAGGGCTTTCAGCATAACCATCAGTGGAGTAACATACATTTTACCCATTTCTGATCATCCACTCCACTCTCACCCCACCCAAGAGTGCCCAACATCTAACATTCCACACTCTACTTGCAAGTGTACACATTATTTAGCTCCCACTTATAAGCAAGAACATGCAGTATTTATCTTTCTGTTGAAGACATTTTTTAAAACACTGAGAAAGGGAACCAAAGAAGACTTAGACAAGTGGAAAGGTGTACCATGTTCTTGGATAAGAAGGCACAGTATAATAAAAATGCCAATTTTCTCTACCATAATTTATACAATTAACATGATATTATTAAAATAACTATAGGATTTTTTTTCAACTGAGCAAGCTGTTCAAAGTTTTTATATAAATTGAATATGCAAAACAGGAGAATTCTGAAAAAGAGGTATAAATTGGAGGAACTAGACTTATTAGGTATTTAAAATATATAATAAAGCTATAATAATTTAAACAATCTGTACCTGCACTTGACTAAACAGAGAAATCAATGGAACCCTATGGAATCCAAGAATTAGATGTATATACCTAACAGTATATAGTATATAATAAAATTGCATTAGAAATTATGAGGAGAAAATGGATTTATAAATGATGTTGGGAAACTGGGCAGTCATCTAAAGAACAAGTTTATTCCATAGGTAGCACCTTTGTACTTAATGAATTTTGATGGATTAATTATAAAAATGTAAGAAATAAAATTAAAAAGTTATAGAAGAAACTATTATGGGCTTCTTAAAAATGTAATCTGACAGTGTAAGATACTTTGTACACATGATTCAAAAGCATAATAGAACAAGTAAACACAACCATAAGAAACTAAAAATGGCCAGGAACAGTGGCTCACACCTGTAATCCTGGCACTTTGGGAGGCTAAGGCAGGCAGATTGCTTGAGCCCAGGAGTTCAAGACCAGCCTGGGCAACATAGGGAAGCCCTGTCTCTACAAAAAAATACAAAAAATTACCTGGATGTGGTGGAACATGCCTGTAGTGCCAACTACCCAGAAGTCTGGGGTAGGAGAATCACCTCAGCCCAAGAGTTTGAGGTATCACAAAAGGGATACATTAAGGACTCAAATAAATAAATAATAAAGCCATCCACCAAATAGAAAAAAAAAGTAGAAAAGAGTACAAATAGATAGTTTATAGAAAAGGAAATTAAAATGAGAAATGCAAATAAATTTCACATTAAAATATCATTTTTCAACTATCAGGAAGATAAAGATCTAAAACTTTTATTGCATACTCTGTTGGCAAGTCTATTAGGAATGGGCACTCTCACTCATGCTGATGGGAATAGGTATTGGTAAAACCCTCTTGGAGTGTGATTTAGCAATGTATACCAAAGCTATAAATATGCATACTTTTTACCTAGCAAAGGTTATCCTACAGATTTACCATGCATATGTGTGAAATATGAAAGCACAAGGTTATACATTACAGCTTTTTTTAATTATAAATATTGGACACAGCTTACTATCCTTGCATAGGAGCTGATAAAATCAAATTTGGTACATCCATTTCAACATGCTTACTCCATACAACTTCAAATACCAAAGAAAAGGACAAAACAAATCCAAAGCATATACATAGTGATCCTAAATCCCAGTTTCCAGGGCAGTCTGGGTTTATGCTTGTTGTCCTAGAGTTTCATCCAGTTGACATTGCCTTGTATTCTCCAAAGTGATCTATTTAACAAATAATCTGGTTGCTGAAACGGAGTAATTGTTTATACCCCCGCTCCCCACTGACAGTTTCATATGTTAAGTCCTAACTCCCTATGTGATAGTATTAGGAGGTGAGGCCTTTGAGAGGTAATTAAGACATGAGGGTAGAGCCCTCATGAATGGGATCAGTCTTATAAAAAGACTCCAGGGAGCTCTTTTGCCCTCTTTCTGCTATTTGAGAATACAACAATCTGGAACCAGGAAGCTGGTTCGCACCAGAACCCAACCTTGCTGGCACCACGATCTCTAACTTCCAGCTCCAGAATGATGAGAAATAAATTTCTGTTGTTTGTTAGTCAATCAGTCTATAGTCTTAGATTGGTGCAAAAGTTATCACACAATTACTTTTGCACCAACTAATAATTGCAAAAATCACAATTACTTTTGTACCAACGTAACAACTTGTTCCAGCAGCCCAAACTAACTAAGGCAGTCACTCTAGGTGTACTTCGCTTTGGAAGTGAGAGAAGGGATTGGGGTGAGGCAGAGAGTGGGATATGAGGTTAGATGAAGGGAAAGGGAAGTGAAAGACAACTTGATGCATCCCGGCCAACTTGGTACCATTCAATTCTTCTCTTTTTGGCCCTATCGAAGCCGTAAGCTATAGATGGTAAGTTTCTGGAGTCAAGAGAGCCTAGGTTCAAATCCTGGCTGTATAATTTACAATCTATATGATCTTGGCCAATTCCTTAACCTCTCTCTGCTTCAGGTTTCTCATCTATAAAATTGAGATACTAGCACCTATCTCATTAAGGTTATTGAGAGGATTAGATGAACTAATGTATGTGAAGCACTTAAAACAGAGTCTGACACCTATGAAGCACTACAGATGCATTAACAATTACTGTGATTCATGGTGCTCTTAGTGTCACTACCTCATCCAGGCCTTGACAAAGTCAATACATACTGAAAGGCTGAACTACTGAAATAAATTACAACTAAGATCTATATATAAACTGCATTCACTCATCCAACATATTTTTGATGAACATTTATATTTAAGGCTCTGACTCTTGGAGAGTAAAATTTATATAAAGCATGGTAGGAAAATAAGATGAATTGGTATAAAGCCCACATGCATAAGATGAAACTATTATAAAATGTGTTGATTATGAATTTCTAAAACTTGATTAATTTAACCAAAAGCAGTCTAGTTATCAGGAAGTTCGCTGATCTTTTGATTATCTGATAATCTTAATAAAACTTCAAAACAAGATAAACATTATTAATATAGGCCAGTTTTAGCTAATACTGAACAATAAAGGGGTAACTTAACTGCACTTTCTTGGTCAAGAACAAGAACTTTGGAACCAGGATAGGCTCAGATTTGAAACTAGCTCTGCCACTTTCCTTGTGTACCTTGAGCAAGATACCTAAACTTTCTCTCCATTAATTCTTCATATGTAAAATAAGCAGCACTAGCTACCAGTTGATACAGTGTTATGAGGATTAAAGGCAGTTACATAGTGTTTAGCCCATAATAAATGCCCAGTAAGTACTTGCTACTTGCAAACATCATAATTATTATTTCTCTGAATTTAAACAAGTAGTACTTATATCTCTATTCAAGTTATCTTCTCCACCTGATTTGCCTTGATTTTTCTCTATGTAAATGAGATTAAACATAATTCATTATTGTTAAAATAATGAATGTTTTTAAAAATGTATCTCCAAAAATCAGTGACTTGGTGATATTTCTCATAGCAAGAGTATAAACTAACTCCCCTTGAGGGAGTGACATAGCCATCTCTTTGTTTAGGTGATTTCTAGACTTCCTATTTAGGCAAGGCTCTGATCTAGAAGACATAACTTTTTATAATGCAGCTCTGATGACACAGCATGAGTGATGGAGCTATAAACAGACTCCCTCCACCTCCCCCACAAACCATGTTTCTGTAGGATGAGGGCCCAGTCAGTGGGAATTCACTTGTAAAAGACTTGGAAATACTTTCTTCAGCCCACAGCTGAGCACCAAAACTTTTCAGCTATATGCCATCTCTCTTAAAATTATGTTCTAAGCCAAGAGAAAAGTCTTGCTAAGTTATTTATGTTTAGAGCCATTTGACTTCTCATTTTAAAGTACGAATATTACAAGTAACTTAAATAGCAGGCACAGTCTAAAGATTTAAAAGGAAGAAAAAGTTGATGAATTGCTGATATACTTACTAAAGTGAATATTAGGAATTTTAATGTCAGATGTTCTAATGGGAGAAAAACATGTTTGAGAACTAAAGAGATTAGCTGAGAACTGAACTCTAAGGCAGGTATTTTTAGGAATCTTTGGTAGTGTTTTAATGTCAGTTAGCTTAAGAAACAAAGTAAAGTATTTGTGTCTCATAGTTGCTAGGCAACATATTGGATTTGATTTGGTTTCCAGTCATTTAAAAAAATAGTGCCATGATTATAATAGCAATAAAACAATATTATCCTTTTCTCAATTCAATATTAAAATACTTAAGAACAGTTGGCTTTGATGGGGTCATTATTACTTAACTTTTATTTTTTCATTGTTTCCATATCCTTGTTCTAGAATCCTGGAACCATGCACTGTACTCTTAAAAGGATAACTTATGTCTTAATTGTGCATTATACTGTTTTACTATTTTAAATTAGATATTTACAGAAAATTCAAGATACTGAACCTTGTAGCCTTTTTTCTGAGTTTCTCCACAGTTTGATCATCATATTCCTGATCATCGATATATTTTCTTTTTAAGAAGGCAAGGGAGTAGTATGTACCTGGGAGAGATTTTCACTTCAAATAATCACAATATTGCTATTGAAAGTGGTAAGCTGCAGATATCTTTAAAAAATATTTACACAAAAACCTAACTCCCCAATCAAGCCAGGAAGATTAAGTATTATTAGTATTTATGCATTTCTGTGAATTTTTAACATAGACAATATTTTTGTTTTCTTATAAAGTTAACACATACGTTTTAATTTTTTTTAAGTCAGGTACCACAAAGCAGTATAAAATAAAAAGTAACATCCTTCTTCCTACTCCTTCTTCAAGTTTCTTCGATCATATGCCCCAGAAATAATCATCGCTAACACTTTCTTATGACTCTACATATTTTTAAATTCTGCTTGGAAACATGTACTAGATTTTGACACAACTCATTTATTGTTAGAGCTTGAGTGCATTCTTTGTTACCACCCAACCAAGAGTAAAAAAGAAAAAACAGTTTTTTTTCAAGAAAAAAAAAGGAATCCCTGGACCCAAACATTTCCCTTCCAACTCTTTTCTGGTAGTAACTCTTCCTCCCCCTTCCATTTCTGGCCAACACAAATGCACAATACAATGACACAGCTAACTGACCATATTGGACGGGAATTTCTGGATGGAAGTTTTTAAAACGTTAATGTATCCGAAGCGGCTTCCCAGTTCTTAGTTTAGTCTAAGTTTAATGTACCAAATAGTTACTATCTCTCTTTTATCTGTCATTTATTTCTATTAACTTTCTTTTTTTTATTGTTTACTCTCATTTTATTGTTTACTTTACATAAAAGTTTGAAGGGCTAAAATGATCTGGGCCTCTTCGAGGTACAAGAAGCCCACTCTAGGTACACGTACAAGCTAAAGCTGCACCAAGAAATTGTAACTAACAGAGCTCTCTCTCTCTCTGTCTCTCTATCTCTCTCTCTCTCTCTCACTCTCTTTCACACACACACACACACACACACACACACACACCCCTTAAATCAGAAGGCTTTTCTTCTAGATCCTGTCCTTCTCCAGGATACAGTTTTCTGGATAATCCAAACAATTTCCATCCTACAGCCCTAGGAGAAGCTACTGTTCGCATCCATTTTTGGTATCTGGAAGATCAGTTTCCTTCCTGTTTAGGCCTCATTTCTATAACACGCATTCTGTTCTCTCTTGCCAAATTCTCCACCCCCATTACCCACGCACACGTGCACACACACACACACACACACACACACACACACAATCTTTGCCATAAGGATTTTTTCCAAACTGTTCCTCAGCAGCCACACTCTGAATTAAATCTGTCCTAGGTATTTGGCTTATTGCTTGTCATCAGTAATTTTAGGGTGCCTACCCAGCTCATGCCCTCTTCTCTAAGAGCTGTCTCTTCACACTACAGTCCCAGCTGTTTGTATCACATGACCTCCTTCCTCCTTGGCTATGAGCTGATTGGATCACAGGTGGACATCTGCTCCTTTTGCTGGTCCCATCAGATCCACTCACTTGAGAACTTGAACTAAGAATCCCAGAACTGGGAATCAGCAAAAGCTAAAACGATACTGATATGTTAGGAACTAGGGTGGCAATTTGGGTGTAATCATGCTGATGAAGAAGCAGAAAGAACCAGACTTCAGACAGAAGAAAGCAAATTAACAGACATTCAGAAGCAATTAGAAACATGAGACCATGTGAAAAGAAAAAGCAAAAACCAGAACAAGACCATAAGAGAGAACAAATACTTACTAATTACTGACAACTTTCCATTTTTTCATGAAGCACATTCACATTTTCTGACCCTAAATCCTTTTTTAATAGTTAAGAGTTTTTTTAATAAACTCACCTTGGTTTAAACTATCTTGATTGGACTTTAACGTCTTACAACCAAAGAAATCCCTAACTATCTTTCTTACTCTCTTATCTTCTTTCTATTTTTTTTTTCCTTTTCCTCCCTGGATTTCTCTGCCCCAAAAGATAATCCCATCTGGATATTTTCTCTTAATCTTTGAATCATGCCCAGAAATTGTATGGCATATAATCAATAAATATTGATAAACTTTTATAGCATCAGAACACAAATAATAGGTTCAATTGCATAATGTAATACACAAGCTTTCATTTTTTCAGTGCTAAATTTGAGGCACTACCCCAGGGACTTTACGGTTGTTGTCTCTTTTCTTATAGAAGTCATCCAAAGTGAGAGCTATTTTTGGACTGTTTTATAGAGGAGAAAATAGTCTGAGAACCACGTAGAATAATACTGCCTAAAGACACATAGCTAACAAGCAGAAGAGTCAGGGTTATAGCCCCAGTTTATCTGGTTCACAAATAAATTCTCTAGTATTCAAAGTCCATGTATTTCAATATCAAGTCCATATATTTCAATATCATTCATTTTATAATATAATATAAACACTCTTAGAGAAGTCTAGTCTCCTAGTGCATCTCACTGACACACACACACACACACACACACACACACAAAATGTGCAAGAAATGACAAAAATGAGAAGACTTCATCCTTCACACGTGCCTCTGGAGCCAAAGAGGCAACATTGCAACACAGCAACAAGAATTAAGGAATGAATGAGTTCTGTGCAGTGAAGGAGACAATGGGCATCTCTTTGCTCTCACCTCTATGCCAAAACAGAGTATGAAACTTTCTCCCACCTCATTAACATGGCAGATAACTTGCAGAACAAGGAGGCTGGGCAAGGAGAAATGCACCTCAGTTATCCCAGGAGAAAGGAACAAGAGTAACAGGCATTTTACGGAGTTTGTCTACTCTAAAAGCTCCATGAGAGCAGGAACTCTGTACTGCAGCACCTGGCACATATGAGGAGCTCAATAAATACTGGTAAGTGAATAAATTCCAACTCTCTAAGTTTCAGCAACTGCACAAATTCTGACAATCCTAAATGGGAAGAGAGATGCAAAAATACAATTGATGCTGATTACAATTGAAAGTAAGTTCTAATGGAAATACTGATAATCTTCTGTGGGTGGGAAGGAGGTGGAGATATTCCTGACAATGCAAAGTAACCACTCAGACACAAACAGTAACGGAAGGTGATTAGCACAGAACATAGAGGAGAGTCAGTGAATGACAAAGAATTAGGGGAATACATTTAAAAAGAAAAGAAAAAAATCAATATTTTTTTAAAAATCTGAGAGCATGTACTGCTTATTAACTGACCAGATTAGAAAAATAATTACGGAAGACACCTCAGTTCTTTCTAAACACGCCTGTTGATCTGGTCCTCCCTGTTGCCAGCATCTTCACCTTTTACAAAATGGGTGGTCTTTTTCTTCATTTCACCTTGTGGAGAGGATAATTTGAAGGGACACAGGAAGGTATTTGCTTCTTTGATGCATTTTCCAACAGTATAGATCCCATAAATCAGATCGTCCATGCAGATGATTCCATATTTATCAAGAGATCCAGCAATCAAAGTGTTATCTGTCAAAGGAATTCACAATTCTCTCATTATTGATTTTGCCATAACCACACTGGTAGAGTAGTTCATTTACTAATTTCAGATTTGGGTACCCCCATGCAATATATGGATCTACAATCCTCAACATGTTAATTGAAGCCTTTCGAGCTTCACAAAGGTTCCATTGAAGATTTGATGAAGGCGAAGAAGTTGCAACACCTTTCGGACCTTTGGGCTCACACCATTGATACCTCTGATCCTGATGGCAAATGCCAATTTGGATTCTGTAAGTGCATAGAAATCGCCAGCTTTTCTTGCCATCCAAGCCATTTGAATTTAAGTTCTGTACATCTGCCTATATTCCTTGTGATAATGCTTCACTTTTTCAAAGATAAGCTTCCTCCTTGCCTTTCAAAGCATCTTTTGGGCAAACTTCTTTCTCAGGTGCTTGATCTTCAGCTCTATGAAATCCCTTTGCTATTTCTTAAAGGTTTCTGGCACAGCAGGAACCTTCTTTTTCTCTTTAACACTCTCCATGGTTCCAGCCAGAAAAGAGGCAAAAATCAATACGTTTCACTTAGTGACAACTCTATACAGATTTTGCCAATATTCTAGTAGGAAGGGTTGGAAGTTAATCCTGTGAATACATAGAATATCACATAATAATGATGATAATGATATAATAATATTACTGTAAGTAAATTTTATTGAGGATTTACTAAAATATTTAAAGTAAATTCACTTATTCAAACTTTGAATCCTCACAATAACCCTACTGGGTGTCTACTACTGATAAAGAAACAGATATTCAAAGAGGCAAAGCAATTTTCTTAAGGTGAAAAGATAAGTAAGTGATAAAACCAAGTTTCTAGTTTGAGCTACAGGACTTCAGGGTCCATGTTCACAATCACTGTACTATATCACTCTTAGTCTATATAAACTATACATAATCTGTTCTTCAGTGTGATTTCATCTGCTTTTAATCCATTATATTATTATTATAAAGATCTGGGTTTAAAATAATGAATCTCTTTCAGGTGTTGCTATGTATCCAGTCTGGATCCAGTAGGTCCCACTTTACAGCTGTACAGCAAGTTAGTAGCCAGAACTTCTATCCATTCCTTACCTTTAACTACTAAATACTTGTCTCTCATATATGACTGCAGGGCCTGAATATAAACCAGAGGCAAGAATTTATTGCATTTCAAGTTACTACCTTTAATGTGCCTTTAAAATTATTCTAGACCTGCTTCTGATCTCTCACTGTCAGTGATGACTATACTTCATTTTCAATTCATGCCTATTTAAACCTTTCTAAGCTCATGAAGTTTTTAAAAAATAGATACAGAGATATGTAACAACCTGTCTAAGTTTTGGATCATTTTCTGTGCTTTGGCAACCAGACTTTTGGCTCATGGACTTGAGTTAGCAGTTAAGTTCCAATTCTATTCATTTGTCTAGTTTTGTTATAAACATGAACTTTATGTGTTTTAGAGAGCTTGATTTTTTGGGGGGAGGAGGTGGTTGTTTGGTTTAATTTTATTTTGCCATACTTCCTGCTCACATATGACCCATTCTCCCATTTAGGCAACAGTTTAGGAATTTTAAGACAAAGAACAAAAATGTCAATAATTTTGACTTTTGAGTTTCTAAGACCTGAGATCTAGAGCTTCAAAAGCAAACTTTAAAAAGGAGCTCAGGAAATAATGTCAGCCATAATAAGAGGTCCCCACTGATATCCCCCCACAGTAGCAATAATTTGACAGTCATTCATGTTCAAAAGTGCCTCTGTGGGAGCTGTGGAACCCAAGTAGGATACTACAGAGCCCCGGTATAGCTAAAGACCAAGGAGGGCTGTTTTGAGAATGCAGACTCATGCCAGTTAGGCTCACTGACCATGGTCCTAACTACAAACCCAGAAATAGCCCTATGCCCCTTTAGCCTCAGCCCTAGCCCTACTTGGACATACTCCTGAAACTGGCACCATCTGCCAAGGGAAAGAGGAAAAGCCATGTCTCTCCATATCCTCAGTAATAGGCCCGCCAACTGTGTACTCAAATGGATATCCCAAAATGGCCCTGTGGCCCTTATACAGCTCTGACCTACCACCAGTCCAGAATTATTCCTGCTCACATAAAGCCCAAGAAGGAGCCACATGAAGATCCCATGAGCCATGGACCTGACTGGAAATCCTGAAGCAGTTCTGTGACCTGGCTCCTGCCTTCCTCTCAGTTCTGCCCACCCAGGATCCCAGCAATGCTCATCCATGCCCTGGTAGGAGGTACAATTACCTCAGTACCAGCTGTGAACCCTGAAATAGTCCTGATACTCAGTTGCTGCCCCACTCTGCTATGGTCCTGAGGCAGTTCTGCTCAACCAGAGAACTGGCAGTAGACATGCCCATCTGACCCCCCAGTGGCAGTCCCGGTGACCTCAGTCTTGACTGCAGACCTCGTAGTAGCCCTGTAACCTGGCTCCAGTCCCACTTTACTATAGTCACACAAGCAGTCCTGCCCACCGAAACATCTGCACAAGGACCCATGGAAAGCCACATACATCCACATCCCTGGTAACTGACTCAGTGCCTACAGACTGAACTGAAGACCCAAAGTAGCCTCATAACCCAAGTGACTCCAGCCCAGCTCAATGATGGTGCCCTAGATAGTTCTGTCCCCTGGATATTTGGCAAAAACCACCCTGCTCACACATCTGGTAACAAGCCTACCAACAATGGACCCAACTATAGACCCAGCTACAGCCATATAACTTGGGTCTAGCAACAATCAACTAAAATCCTAGAGGCAATACCATCAGTCTGAGGACCAAGGAGGAGAAAGTCTTTAATCACTGAAACCAATCTATACAAACAGGAAGTGGTATTGGTTCCTTCAAATGCGTAAAGATTAATGCAAGACTACATGAATCAATAAGAATCGGGAAAGTATACCACCACCAAATGAAACTGACAAAACTTTAGCAATTGACAGTGAGGAAATGGAAAATTGCCTGGAAAAATTGCCTGGAAAAAAACTGAAAATCATTGTCTTAAGGAAGCTCAGTGAGCTCCTAAAGAACACAGGTAGGCAACTCAACGATATCAGAAAAATAACACCTGAACAAAACAGTAAGTTCAACAAAGACATAAATCATGCATACAAAAAGAAGCAATAGAAATGTGAAGCTGAATTACACAATGAATTGAATGAAAAATGCAATAGAATGCATCAATAATGGGTGTTATTAAGCAGAAGAAAGAATCTATAAACTCAGACAGGTCAGTTGAAATTATAAAGTCAAAGTGGAAAAAAGGAAAAAAATATGAAAAGAAATGAAAAAAACCTATGGGATTTTGTGGGACATAATTGAGAGAACTATTATGTTCATTATAGGAGTAGAAGACGGAGAACAGAGAGAGAAAAGCAGAAAAGTGGACATGCAGGTACACGAAGCTGAAAAGTTCCCAAATAGGTTCAACCAAAAGAGGACTTCACCAAGACACATTATAATCAAACTGTCAAAAATCAGACAAATAGAGAATTATGGAAGCCAGAAAAAACCAAAACAAAACAAAACTGAATCATCAATATACAAGAGAACATCCACAAGATTGTTGGTGGATTTCTTGGCAAAAATTTTGCAGGCCAGAAGAAAATTGAACAATGTATTCAAAGTGCTGAAAATAAAAATAAATACCTGCCAAAATTACTTTACCTGTCCTTCAGAAATAAGGGAAAGTTAAAGACTTTTCAAGCAAGATAAAAGCTGAGGGAGTTTATCACCATTAGATTTGCATTACAAAAAAATGCTAAAGGAAGTTCCTCAAGCTGAAATGAAAAGATACTAATTAGTAACATGAAGATTTATGAAAGCATAAAACTCACTGGCAAAGGTAAATGTATAGTCAAATTCAGAATACTCTTTAATACTGTAATGGTGATATGTAAATGACTTGTAACTCTAAGATAATGCTTAAAAGACAAAAGTATTAAAAATGTAGCTATAATATTTTGTTAATAGCAAACATTTAAAATATATAAATTGTGACATCAAAAACATAAAATGAGGGGAGAGAGCTACAGTATAGAGTTTATGCAGTCAAAGTTAAATTGTTAGCTTAGAATAAACTTTTATAACATAAAATGTTTTACATAAGCCTTGTGGTAACCACAAAGCATAAACCTATAGTAAATACACAAAAGATAAAAAGAAGGGAATCAAAACATGCCACTACAAAAAAAAAAATCACAAAGGAAGACAGCAAGAGAGGAAGGAAGGAACAAAGAAATTCCAAAACAGCCAGAAAATAATTATTAAAATGTTAAAAAATAAGAGTTTATGTATCAATACTTTATATATAAATTGATCAAATTCTCCAAACATAAAATGAAGTGATTGAGTGGACTGAAAAAAAAAAAGATCTAATTATATGCTGCCTACAAGAAACTCACTTTAAGAAAGGAATGAAAGAAGATACTTCATGCAAATGGCAAGCAAAAAAGTGCAGGGGTAGCTATTCTTATATCAGACAAAATCAAAATTGTAAAAAGAGAAAAAGAAAGTCATTTTATAATAATAAAAAGATCAATTCATCAAAGGATATAACAATTGTAAGTATATAAGCATCTGACTACAAAGTCTCTACATATAAAGCAAATATTAACAGATCTGAAGAGAGAAATAGACAGCAATACAGCAGTAATAAGGGACTTCAATATCCATCTTTCAACTATGAATAGATTATGCAGAGACAAAACTAATAAGGAAACATTAGACAAACTATGCTTGACACCAAATGGACCTAAGAGACATACACAGAAATATTCTACCTAACAACACCATAATACACATTCTTCTCAAGTACAAACAAAATATTCTTTAGGATAAATTCTATATTAGGTCATAAAACAAGTTTTAACGCACTTAAAAAGACTGAAGTCATATCAAGTATCTTTTCTGAACACAATAGTATGAAACTATAATTCACTAACAGGAGGAAAGTTAGAAAGTCCACAAATAGAGGTTGAGAAACCTTTATCCAAAAATTCTTGGGACTAAAAGTGTTTCAGATTTCAGATTTTTTTCAGATTTGGGGATATTTGCATTATACTTACCAACTCAACATTCCTAACCTGAAAACTGAACATAAAAGAAACCAATGAGTATTTCCTTTGATCTCATCCATGATTTTTGGGCACTTCATATTTTGAGTTTTTGAATTAGGAATACTCTGCCTTTATGTAGAAATTAAACAATTTGCTCTTGAACAACCAATGGGTCAAAGAAGAAATTAAAAGGTAAATAAAAATACTTTTATACAAATGAAAATGGAAACACAAAATATCAAAATTTATGGAGGGCAGCAAAAGCAGTTCAAATAGGGACTTTTATGGTAATAATGTCCAATATTAAGAAAAAAGAAAGATGTCAAATAAATAACATCACAATATACTAAAAAAAGAAGAACTAAGTTAGTAAAAGGAAGTGAATAACAAAGTTCAGAACATAAATAAATGAAATAGAAACAAAAATATAGAAAAGGTCAATAAAACTAAGTTTTTTTTTCAAGGTAAACAAAATCAAAATTATCTAGACTGGCTATGATAAAAAGAGGTAAGAGACTCAAATACATAAAATCAGAAGTGAAGGAGGAGACATTACAATTGATACCACAGTAACACAGGAATACAAAGGATCACAAGAAAACACTATGAACAAAAATACTTGGATAACCTAGAAGAAATGGATACATTTCTATCCAGCCAAAAAACTGGATAACCTAGAAGAAATGAATACATTTCTCGACACATACAACTGACCAAGACTGAATTATGAGGAAATAGAAAATCTGAACAGAAAAATAATTCATAAGAAAAATTGAATTACCAATAAAAAGTTTCCCATCAAAGAAAAGCTGGCTTCATAATTTAATTTTACCAAATATTTAAAGAACTAGAAAGGACCCTTCTCAAACTCTTCAAAAAGTCAAAGAAAAGGGCATTCTTTCAAACTCATTTTATAAGGCCAGCATTACCTGGATACTAAAGACAGATCAGGTCACTACAGGAAAATAAAATTACAGACCAATATCCCTGATGACCATAGATGCAAAAATCCTCAACAAAATACTACCAAACCAAATTCAACAGTGCGCTGAAATGACAATACACCATGACCAAGTTGATTTTATCCCTGGGATGCAAGAATGATTCAACACACACAAATCAATAGATGTGATAACTTGCCTTAATGAAATGAAGGATAAAAATCATACGACCATCTCAATAGATGCATAAAAAGCATTTGACAAAATTCTTTCATG